AAATTGGAGAAACATCCAAATAGAGTGATTAAATGATCATAATATAAAATTTAACTTATAAACTTAAATAATCTTTAAAATATCTTATGATTTACTTATTCATCCATCCAAAGCATATTTAAACATCAAAAATGGCCTTTGGTTAAAGTCACAATCGAATTCTCAATAATCCAATTGGACTGTCGGCAACACGACTCGTGTGGGGCAGTCACACGACTCGTGTGGCCTCACACGACTCGTGTGCCTTGTCACACGACTCGTGTGGCTTGCCGACACTTTTTCTCTTAATCATTCATCATCTCACACGACTCGTGTAGCTAAGTCACACGACTCGTGTAGCCTCACACGACTCGTGTGGCTCATCACACGATTCGTGTCAAAATCCCGAGGCTAACTTTCATCACATCTCCCTCCCACACGACTCGTGTGCTTCTCCACACGACTCGTGTGGTTTCACACGACTCGTGTGTCTCTTCACACGACTCGTGTGGCTTGTTCCTTGAAAATTCTTAATTTCGGTCCGATAACTCACTATCTTGGACTCGAAATTACTTATTTCTTGGAACAATAACTCATAATAACTGAGATAACTGAAAGGGATATTACAATTCTTATCCGAGATATCTCAAATAAATGATGAGAAACTGCACTCTACACAAGCTTTTGCTGTTCGATTAAGAAACCAACCTAAATTTTGTTAAATATCCACTTAATCACCTCATGAACAACAGACCTCATAGCTTCATTTGTACCCTCATTGGGTACTTAAATAAGCTCAGATTATGATTTCTGGAGCTTGTTGACCTACTAGAGTACTTATTAAGACCATTATCGGTAGAAAAAACAGAACTAATATGCATTCAACAATTTGGTTCATGAATAGCTCCACGTAACAAATGCATGTCCGAAAACGTAAAGAGAACAAAATTTGATTGCTAGTTACAAAGACCAATAGTTCCGTGTCTAGCCTCAGAGTCCAATGATGAAATTGAAATGAAATATCAATATCCTTCAAGATCCCACCTCTAGCAAAACTTAGACCTTAATAGCATATTTCCTAAGCGGAAAGTACATTTCTTTCTTTTTCTGCTTCTCTATTTTCAATGATGCCTGCAAACAGGTAGTAAAACCAAATCAAAACCAAGCGCCTTAATGCTAGATTCATCAATTACTCTGTATGCCAAATGACCAAAGTGAACATCAGGAGATTAGTAGTAGAATTATGTGGTCCGAACTCATATTTGATCTTTCTTTCTAGTACTAGTATTACCCATCAATGAAAGTAATGTAGTTCCCATCCATGCAATATGCAACTCAAGCTGTAAAAATAATTCTATTCCAAATGGAATTATACGATTAACAAACTAGTTCCATTGCAAATAAAATTACAATATGTCAACACAATTAGGATTGTGAATGTATAGTGAATAGATGCAAAAAGCAACTTTAGCATGCGTAATGCACATAGCAGAAGACCTAGTAGAATACTCGTGGGGTAAAGTATAAAACTGACAAAGTTTTTATGATATAATGATGAAAAAAAAACAACGAAAAAGGAAAAGCAATTTACATGGTGAAGTAAAAATCGCCTTACTTGGGTTTGAAGGTTTTCCCGGAAAGAAAATGTTTTAGGAACCCTAATGGCTCTATGATATCTACAGCACGGTCAACAATAACACTTTCTTAAAAATATAGATAACTTTAGATCAGTCAAGTTCAAGCAATTATCACATAACCCGTCTTATAGAACTTGAATAAACGTTTTAAGTGCAACATCATAATTGGATACGAAACTGATCACAAATACACAAAAGCCACAAATAATTTTTAGCAGCTTCACAAGAACAACATCCTACATTTACACACATATATACTTACACACACACACAAACAGCCGGTGCACAACAGAGTTCACAGATTAAAAAAAAAAATGAATCAAAATTTCAGAACTCGAAAAAGTATCCATTAATTCTCTTATAAGACACAAGTACATAGCGTACCTGGTGCTTGGTGAGGCGACGGCGGATGGCGCGGGTTTTCTTAGGACGGAGATCGAGAGGCAGATACTTCTTGTTCTTGTACGCCTCCCTCAGCGCGGCCTTCTGCTTCTGCGCGATGACGGTGAGCACCTGCGCAATCGACAGCCGGACCACCTTGATCTTCGACAGCTTGTTGGGGGCGCCGCCGGTGACCTTCGCCACGCGCAGCAGCGAGAGCTCCGCCTTGAGCTCCTTCGTCTGCTGCAGCAGATCCGCCTTGCTCTTTTGCCGGAGCTCGTGCACCTTAACCCGAGCTGCTTAGAAAAGTACAACAATTAGTACGAAAGGTACAACGATTAGTCCATATATCCCACCAGAAATTGACATGATCTTCATCTGTGTAGTTCTATCTCTTACCCATTTTCGCTGAGAGGTTTGGCGATGGGGGTGAACTTGACGAGCGGCGTGGTGACAGCTGAGCAGTTGAGAACCCTAATAGCAGTTTTATTTATCTTTTTCGGGCTGGTTTGTGTCTTGGGCTAAAACAAGTCTGTACAGAAGCCCGATATATAAGTTTGTTCACGTCTTTTCACGGCCCATTATAATAAGATTTGATCCGAATCTATAAAAAAATAAAAAAAAAAATATAAGCTATTGCTACACTTTTTGAAAAAATTTATAAAAATACGGCATTCAAAATTAATATATTTGCAGTTAAAATAAAATGAGATTTGAAAGTAAAAGATTTAGTTTTTTTAAAAAAATATTAACATGTACAAAGTTTTTTTTTTTTAACTAAAAAATTACTAATGTATAGTCTATACATAGTTTTTTTGTTTTCCTAACGGCAATTATATTAATAACTTAAAAATTTAAAAGAGTACAATCGAAGTGTCAAGTGACACACTGGAACCAGAAGACTGGACCAACCCCCTTTGTCAACACAAAAAGGGGGTATAAACTCTATCAAGGAGGCGAACAACCACAAAACAAAACTCCAAAAAAGAAATATTAACTCCATATAGGAGAGAAAAGCAGACACAGCTGCACTAAAAGCGGACACAGCTGCAAAATACGAAACAAAACAACAAACTAAAGACCAAAACACACACCTAATAAACAACAAGATAGAGTAAAACCTCCCATAAACCTAACAGCTGAAACCCAAAACCAATTGAACCGTCTACCAAGTCACACCCCAACAAAAAACACCAACCGAGCAACAAAACTAGGCTCCAAACTCGTGAACTGCGGTCACTCTACCACCTAGACGAATTTTCGGCCCAGATCTGAGCCCGGAAGACCTTCATCGCCAGGGAAAAGAAGGAGAGCCATCACGAACTCACCAGAGGATTAGAAGGGAGAGATCGAGGAGACGACAACCTGCAACCGAGCCGCCCGGCTCGAAGGACCTGCAGTCTGGCTGAACAGGGGCATACGGGACCGCGGGTTGGGCTTGCCCAAGCCAAAGTTAGTCTCCAGGAAGAACATGGCTGCACAGATCGAGCCTCCAATGGACCGACGAACTTCCGTGGCTTGGCCTTGCAATAGTAGCCGACGACCTCGCCGGAGGCGGGGGATAAACCGAGGAGCGAAAATCGCTGTTGGCCAACCACCCGCAGCACTCCTGGAGGCGGAAAGGAAGCACCCAGCCGCGACTTGGCCGGAACGGCCTAGTGAGCACTGGCATTGTGCCGCCGGAAGAGGGGGGCTGCGTTAAATCAAATTTTAGATCTGGGGAAATGTTTCATTTTCGAATAGAGAGAGAAAAAGTCTAATACTGTATATTCAATTTAGTCTATATATAGTTGACTTATGGTTTATTAGCATCATTGGTTTCTATTTATTGTTTTTGTTTTTATGTCCTTTTTTTCTTGAAAAATTTTCAAATAGTGAAGTTAGGAATGAGAACGGGACATGTCGGGCTGAGTAGATCGACACCCGGAGTTGCCCCACGATTCTTGGCTCGTGCCCCGCCTTGCCCTGTGACCCGCTATGGGTTCACTAGGCTTGCCCCTCGGCCTGGCCCGTGTTAGGGCAAACCGACACACCTCGTCCCAATTTTTTTTTTTGTTTATTTAGTAGTGTAGGCCAACGAACCAGACAACCTCATCATTTTTGGGGACCAAGTTGTTGCTATCCTAAATTAATTTTTCCTTGTTTCTCTCAAGTCTCAATTTTGTATCTCAAGTGAGCTCCACTTCCACCCTCTTTGCACCCTATTTACAGTATATGTAAGTAAATAATTTAAAATTATATTATATGCAAAGCAGGGAGACTTCTAGCACCCGAACATACTTCGTTCCTAAGAAAAGCTGGACCGCACTTAACCATTTTGGAAACGGGGGTTGGACCAACCCCATAAGCTTTGGGCAGGCCGATTCAAGGTTGGTCTGGGTCAAATTGCCATCATTGTGTATTCAGGTAGGATTTTTAAAGACTTTTTAAAACTTTAGAAATTCTGGTGTATTCAATTTTGATTTGTTAAGACTTTTAAAAATACTGAGGTATTTATTTTATTTGATGCTAGGATTTGTTAAGACTTTTTAAGATTTTGTGGGATATCTAAACAAAAAACCTTATACGAAATCTCACTTCAAATCCTACCTCTAGACTTAAGATTTTATAAAATTCTTCCAAAATCTAAAAATTCTAAAGAGTCTCAAATCTTAAAAAGTCTTAAAATGTCACTTAAAATCTTAATTGAATACACCCTCCTTAGTGTAGTAATCCTGTAAAAGAGCCATAAAAAAAAAGAGACCTAGAATTATTAAGTATATAATTTAAAATTATATTATATGCAGAGCGGGGAGACTTCTAGCAGCCGAACATACTTCGTTCCTAAGAAGAGCCGGACCGCACTTACCCATTTTGGAAACGGAGGTTGGACCAACCCCATAAGCTTTGGGCAGGCCGATTCAAGGTTGGTTTGGGTCAAATTGCCATCATTAAGTGTAGTAATCGTGTAAAAGGGCCATAAAATAAGACCTAGGATTCAATTTTTCATAAGGGTTTGATGGATCTGGGCCAAAACTCCAAGACTGGTAGGTCTGCTCTACTGGAAAAAGAATGGAAAATATTCCCTAAAGTAAAGGGGCAGTAGGATAGTTGACACCGATAGAATTTCAATGACATTTTAAATTATTTCAAAAAATTCATAAGGCTTTGACATTTATCTCAATTATTTTTGTAAATAAGGACGAAAATCAACTAAATGATGGCGACACTCATAGGTTCCTACTAATATTTTGTAAGTTAAGCACAACCGGATAGAAACGCCCGGCGTAAATATTTTGGTGCAATTTCAACCTTCTATAATATCTTGCCAATTTTTTCATTTAGTTGGGATGCCGACGGAAAAATATAATGGCCTCCCTAGTGGGTGCAGTTGCATCTTTCAAAACTTGAAGACCCGTTGCTTGAACACAAATATTAAGAACATGATAAACACATCAAATATGAAAATAATTAACACCACAAAAGAGAACGAAAGAATGTATAAGATCATACAAAGAAACAATTTTAGATCTACCATTCTCAAAAGAAATTATTTTTTACCAATATTATAATCATTCAACACATGGGCGATTAAACGAGCAATGTACTGAGCAATATGAGCTTCAATAAGTATAATATTTTTCAATTAAACATTTTATTAAGGTATAACTTGCCTCAACCTAGTGACAAGTAATTCTCACATAAGTTTTTTCTTGCCAATGATCAGACAAAATATCACAACAAAGAAAAGGTATTTAATTTTCGAGTGCTTGTTTCAAAAGTAATTTTCTCTCGCCCATTATATTTTAACTATCACGTGTGAGAGTATATGTATGGAACACTCACAATGGGGTTCAATGTTAGTTTTGAATGGGTACGACTTTAATTACTTCTAGGACAATGATTGTAAATACATCGATTGATCTTGGGACCGTTACTGAAATCCTCCACCTTTGAGAAATGCCTTGTGAAGATTTTGAATGACAAAGGTCATGATGGAAGAAGCTACCGAAGCTGAAGCTTGACCAAGTGTATCCTCGTCATGACTTGAAATCCTCGGCACCAATATCGTTGGGGAGTCATCACCAAAAGATATTATCGGAAACGATGGACTACCAATCGTTGATGCTACACCCCCTTTTTGCTTTTATGGTCGTGCATCGGCCACAACCGCACCTCTTCTATGAGAACTCGATAGTTTCATAATTTAATTTATGAAAATGAGCTTAAAATATGCTTAGTATTGAATAATCAAAACTAATAAACAACTAAAGATTGTCAATGAATACTAATAAATTATTGTTAATTTTTGGAATGGTAGAGGATCTAGGAGAGAGATGAGAGTATGAGCGATTGTGTGAATAAACGAGTGGTAAGAAAAGGGTATTTATAGATAAACATTCCAAGAAAAAAAAAATAAAAAACAAAATTTTGGTCTGGACTCACTAGTTTTGGATTGACCCAGACGGCCCAAAAGTTTGAGTTGATTTGCGCTCTTGTATCATCAACGGTTACAAGATCTAAATGAGCTCATAGTCGAGCAATAGGAGCTTCATTATGTACAATATTTTGCAATTAAACGTTGTTGTAAAGTAAAACTTGCCTCAACCTAGTGACAAGTAATTCTCACATAAGATTTTTTTGCCAATTATCAGACAAAATATCAACAAAGATTAATTATTTATTCTTAATTTTAAAGTGATTGTTTCAAAAGTAATTTTCTCTCGCCCATTATATTTTGACTATCAGGGGTGAGAGTAGTACGTGGAACCCGACTCGCAATGAGGTTCAATGCTAGTTTTGAATGGTTACGACTTCAATTACTTATAGGACAATGGTTGTAAGTACATCGATAGATCTTGAGACCGTTACAAAAATCCTCCACCTTTGCGAAATGCCTTGTGAAGATTTTGAATGATAGAGGTCATGATGGAAAGAAGTTACCGAAGTGGCAGCTTGACCGAGTGTTTCCTCGTCTATAACTCGAAATAATTCTTTAATGTCCTCGACACCAATATCATTGGGGAGTCGCTGCCAAAAGATGTTATCGAAATTGATAGACTTCCAATCATTGATGCTACACCTCCTTTTCGCTTTTATGGTCGTGCATCGGCCACTGCCGCACCTCTTCTATGAGAACTCGATTTTTTCATAACTTAATTTATGAAATGAACTTAAAATGTGCTTAATTTAGATAACCAAAACTAATAAATAATTAAAGATTGTTAATGAATACTAATAAATTACTAGAACTCTTAGAATAATAGAAGATCTGGGAGAAAGACGAGAGTATGAGCGATTGTGAGAATAAATGAGTGTTAAGAAAAGGGTATTTATAGGTATACATTACAAAAATCTGAAAAAAAAAATAAAAAAAAAAATAAAATTGCTCGGCTCAGCTCGTTAGCTTAATGAGCCATAGTCGATCTCGAGCCTTAAAAAGCGGAAATCGAACTTTATCAATTTGAACTATAGAAAATTACATAGAAATAATCTTTTTGAGCAAGCCGAGCCGAGCCGAGTCCATACAACATTAAAGGAGCTCGAGCTCG